CACAATTTATATTAAATAAATGTAATTTCTGATTTTCTACAGCCTCCCCTCCAAAAAAAACAAAAAATAACACCGCTTGCAAAAGTGCCATATATAAAATAAAGTCACTCACCAGCACGTAAGGAAACCAAGAAATAGAAGAGCGCCCAAGCGAGAATGATGATGTAATACACATTAGTCCAGCAGGAAAGCACGCAGGTTGCATATCCAATGCCTGTATGAAGATCAACATTGTCATCCTCCAAATATACCAAAAATATTTTAACGAAACTAAAACTCCCGAGAGCTCTCTAAAATTCACCTTTGAAAATAGGTGCTATTTTAAAAACACCTAGACCACCTATCGTTAGCATCTGACCTAAGGAGAGTTCCATCAGGAACATAGGTATACCGGCCAGTGCAAGCGCGATGAAGTAGGGCACCATAAAAGCACCGCCGCCATTTTTATAACAAAGATATGGAAATCGCCATAGATTTCCCAAACCTATGGCCAGTCCCACGACGGACAAAATGAATTCGATCTTTAAAAGAGAAAAGTACGAAAATTGTATCTATAAGTTAAATCCGGGTCTTCTATCTAGACATTATGCAGATTGACCAACGTCTCACCTTGCTGCTCCAGTTCCCTCGTTCTGGTAGATCCTTGGGCTTCTTGATGATCGAGGACTGTCGCAGGCATTGTATCGCTTCAAATCGAAAGTCCGACTCTTTCTCGCCATTGGAGGGAGCTCGATTGTTGGTGGGCTCGGAGAAGAGGGCCTTTAACTCCTGCACCGGATTCACGGGACTCGCTGCCGGTTTCCTCGGCAGAGGACTAGTGGATCTATCTACCTTGGGACGGCCGGTCGATCCCCTTGAAGGCATTATTCGTTGCGGCGACGAAATCGCGGGAAGAGATCGAAATTGTAGAACTCACCTCATCCTAACAGACCGATCGTGAGTGGAGATCGCCAACTGTGTGTAACTTGTGCTCTTCTTTCTGATTAAAACGCTGGAACGGGATGGTCGTTGAAATGATGGTGAAGTGGAAAGAGACAGGAAGGAACGAAGGGTTGATTGATAATTGTCGTCTATGTATAGGAAGTTTTTGTGACGTGACCTCGTCCTATCTAGTTGCGCCGACCTTAACAAACAGGAAGCCCTTTAAGAACGGCCGGACGTGTTACGAGAGACTCGAGGAGAGTATACAGGGGATGATGATAAGTCCCTAATATAAATAATAGATGAAATTTGCGTTCTCGCATGATAATACCCGCGGTCATCGTCGTCGTCGCGCGCACGAGCGCGAGGTGCGCGTATAAGGTATGACATATAGTAGACAAGGGTCTTGATGATGACGGACGATGAATAACGAGCCACTTCCGGGAATCATAGCGTTCACCGAATGCGTTCTCATCATCACAACCTTGTCCTATTTTATTATTTAATTCATGGTGTCCTGTGCATTGCGGTATCGTAATAAATATTTCCCATATTGCACGTTTCGCGACGACGACAACATATAATGAAAATATCCCGTCTTTCTTATTTAATTAGGAATCAAAGTCGTGCAAAATGTTGTATTAAAAAGCTAAATTTCAAAAGAAATTTTAAATCAATTAATAATTTGATTAGATAACGCGCGCGCAGTATGATGGATAAGTTTATATTTTGTGTCAGATATTTTTCCCACGTAACTTCAAAGAAGCAAAAGGATTCCGTTGCCGAAGGAATGATCGATGTATTTTAGCTTTGCGCGGAAATCACAAACGATACATACGCAGTTGTCACGATCCAAAATATGCAGTCTTCCTGCACCGTCAATGTTTTTTTATTGGTCCTTATCTCGGCATCCTGCTAAATATTCTGCTTCTTCCACGTGCGAGATCACTTCCGAGATCTTCAGTATAGAATATTAGAACTTTTGAAAAGGGGAATGGAGTTACCCCTTTTTTTTTTAACCGAACGTTTAACTGAACACGACTTTGAGGTAGAAGTCTCTCGTACGGATGCCGAGATTTCTGCCGTACCCCGTCGCGATCTACCCCACAATGATGCTCGGTCCCCCTCGAGCATGAACGCACCTATCTTTCCATTCAACAAATTAATGCCACAGTGTCACTCTATATTTAGGCTGCTCGTACGATACGAAGAGATCGGTCATACGCGCGCGAATTGCGGTAACCAAATGCGATACAATATTTTCCATTTTTCCTTTTCGTATCATGTGACTTTTTCAATAAGATAACAATTCATTATTACATTGAAGGATACTTTGAAGAAGGAGGCCGAATAAACATATGAGGATTATAATTAAGTCTCGAAATAAGACAATTCTTCTCTAAAGAATTTTTGTTGCAAAATATTTGTATATATATTTGTATATAGAATTAATTTTAAGAACAGCAAATAAGCGATTAGATATCTTTTTATGTATTTACAGATATCATTATTAAGATGGATGTATAAAGGAAGAGCGGTTTTGCTAAAGTGTCATAAATTTGAATATATAGATACAGATTTGAAAATAATTTTGTTGGATTAACAAAATATAATTTAATATAAAATAAATTATACAGAATACTCAAATAGTTGCTAGAATATCAAAACTCTACAGTATTGCTTATCATACTTGAATTTCCTATATAATTATTTTGATAATCTAAACAAATTATTTTCAAGTCTGTATTTATCTAAATTTTTAAATATTTTAAAATCGTTCTTTTCATATATTTTCATAAAGTTTTAATAATTATAATATGAATATTATAATAATTATAATATGCTTTTCAAGATATCGAATTTTAACTTATATGTGATATGAATAAAAAATTTATGCATTAAATTTTCTTCTGCTAACGTAGGTTTCTATGTAACATGGCGTGTAGTAAGAACTTAGGAAGTCTAATGAACACAATTGTTCATGAATTGTAATGAACACAGTATAATTTTGATCACTTACGATTGCGAGTGTTCATTAGATTTCCTACTATTCGTAGAAAAAAATTCAGTGCATGAGCTTTTTGTCGATGTACTACACCATAAATTAATATAAATTCTAAAGTCATATGACATTTTAAATAAAAAATATTTAAAAAAACTCACTTTTTTTTTTAAGTACATGGAAGATAAAGAATCCAACGACTGATCACTTTACTCAGATCAGAGTTGAATGAATTTTTAAATATTTCTCCAAAGGCAAACTTTTATTATAATTTTTTCTCGTTAAAATTGCATTTCCTTTCCCACATGAATCTACAAATTTTAAATATACTGTATATTTTGATTTATAATTTGGGACTAAAGAGAGAAAACACCTTAAATAGATAATTTTCGAAATAAAAAAAATAAAATTTAATATTGCGTCGTTTTTATCATATTCATATAATATTAAAATAAGATTAAAATGAATAACTATTAGAAGTATTAAAAAATACGAGGTAAATTGTTATAAACTATGTCTTTAAAATATGTCTTTAAATGTTTCTTTAAAATTACCTTGCGATATGAACTTTCAGCTAAAATTCCTTCAGTATAAGTAAATATATGACGCAAATGATTTCCATTGCTTCAAGTTCGTTGTTTCAAATGGTTTTATACTGCTTAAGCAAGAAAAGTATAGAAAACAAAAACAATTGTATGTCGCGTTTTATCAATTTCTATGTTTAAACTAATTATATCATTATGATACGCTTCATCAATTATGTTAGTTGTCATTCTTAGTTTATAATTATTGTTGATATTTATAATTATTGTTGATCAACATTTATAAATTAAAGAATATATTAGTAAATTCTAACAAGATATTGCTCTCTCTATGTTAGAGATAACATTTTATGAGTTTTTAAATAGCTTCTGTCTATACTATATATATTCTATAATATACATATTAGTATAATATTATGCATAAATATATAAAAAAAATTAAAAGATATAATATCAATAAATACTATCCAAGATAATATTCGTTTATTTAATTGTTATCCGATTTGATTCAATGCAATTGTAATAAATTAAAATTATTTCTTAAATTAATAATAAATAAATTAAATATATGTATGTTAAATTTAATTATAATAAGTTTTACTCAAATTATATCTATTTAATATATTTTTTCTGAAGTATATTTCTCGTCTTCAAAAAATAATTAGAAAACATTTTTACTTGTCACAGTATTTTCATTAAAAAAAAATTAAATTACAATTAAAATTACAATTAAATTAACTATTTTCGTACTTAACGTACTTTCAATAACAACCTAGCAAACAAGAATGGATTGAAATGAATTGAAATGAATTCAAATTTTCAGAAATATTGATTCACGGATGTTAAAATGAATGCTTTTCATCCTGAATTTTTATTCATTTACAGGATTTGCATGGAGCATATCTCTTTTCAATTTAAAAATAATATTAGCTTTTTCTATGCAACGCATTATGAATACTGTTCAATTCAAAATTTTGAGTAGGAAATGCAGTTTTTCAATCCAATTGTATCCAATTGTATGTAATTGAATCCAATTGAATCCAATTAAATCCAAAAAAAGTATTCGCTATTTAAAATACGCATTTGGATAGAAAAAAATTTCAATTCATTTTAATTCATTTTCGTTTGTAGGAAGCATGTATTTTTTGTTAAAATAAGTAAAATATATAAAAGAAACATTTTCTTTCTAATAGATTTTTGTTGTCTTGATTCCTCATTTTTTGTATTTTTCTTTTTATTTTTCGCATACTTTTTGCATCTAATGGAGATAATATTTCAAGAAAAACTTACAAAAAAAACAATAATCATATTATAATGCAAATAAATGTACGTAATTTACAAAAAAATGTCATCATAAATATAAATTGATTTGGATGAAAGAATTCAGAATCCAATTCATTCATGTTCATGTAGACTTGTGTTTCCTCGCCTATCACAGCAATAGACATTACGCCTGGCGTAACCTAGCTTAACCCTAATCTGAAATCATCTGAAATTGAAACATTTGAGCATCTTGTAGCTTGCGGTAGCCGGTGCCGACATGTTTGGGCATATTCATCAATATTGTTGACGACGTTTGCTCGGTTGTTCGATATTGAATTCCAGACTAATCCAGACTGCAGTTGCTGCAGTTTTTAACGATTTTGACAATCACGAGAATTCATAAGTTTCGCCTACATTTTCGAGACATGGACAAAGAAAGTTATGCTGACAACAACGAAGAAGCAAAGAATCATACACGGTGTTTTGTCTGTGACGCCGATGTCAAGGGTCGCTTTTATGCTTTGGCCTCTTGCAGAACGCAGAACTCGCAGGCCAGGGTAATCGAGAAACTCGGAGAATTAGTTGGCGAAAGGTGATGAATCTACGTTAATTAAGCGGCCTGCATCTTCCGTACCGATAAGATGTTAAATAAGCTCGATTTCTTACTACAGATACATGGTTGTAATAACTGAGGAAGATGTGATCTGCCGCAGTTGCGGTATCCTCGTTAACACCTTAGATAGATTGGAAATTGAAATGCGTGATACGCGGAATCATATTTTGCGCTTTTTAGAGCAAAAGTATTCTCTGAACGAAGGAGAGCTTCGCAATAGTAGTGACAAACCGAAGCCATGTCAACCACCACAGATCACGAGATCTGGAGTGAAAGAGATCACCTGCAGTACTAAATCGAACGAGAATGACTCAAATCCAGGAAATAAGAAAATACCATCGAAATCTTTGCTGCAATGCAATAAGTGTAAATATACTACAGGTATCGATTCATTTATGGTATATCACTTGAGGAATCATACCAAGGAATCTCTATCTTGCGATAACTGTGGGAATACAATGCTTGAGGTTACAAAACATAATTGTAACAAGGCAAATGGCTTGGGAAATAAGGAAAATGAAACAGGTTGAGTATCATGAATTAAATAAAAATGAAATATTGCAGTATCATTAGTTGCTTTCTATTTATATCAAAATTCATAATTATCTTATTTCATTTATGACATCATAAGTTGAATGTACATTCCTTTTCATTCTAATAAGTGAGATTTAACAGAAATTTTTATTTAAAATCTGTATAAACTCACCATGTATTTTAAGTCTTGTTAATTACTTTACATTAAAAATGAGGTTTAATAACCTTATCATCAGATCACTTTGTCATCAAAGCATGTGACATTATTTTGAATATAAGATATTTACATAATTTTAAAGTTAATATCACTTGTGTGAAAATGGAAAGTAACTATTGTTCCGAGTTTTCTATAATTACACAGGTCGACAAAAAAAGTATCCTGTGCTAGAGTGGAGATTCTTATATATTTTGAATCTGAATATGAATCTGACATCAAAATTTACCCTGGATGGATCCCATTTTGATGTCAGATTTGTATAGCTGGGTCTCCAGCACAGGATTCTTTTTTTTATGGATCTGTGTTATTGACATTGATATTACAGATAATTCTGACAATGTTAGCAAGAATGAATCAATAACACTTTTGAAGCCAACTCAAATCTTGCCTTTTACTCAAACTACGCCACCGCCATTGACATCTTTCCAGCAAACAAATTGCAATCCTCCGAATAGCATCCCTACGTTACCAATAAGCAAGTATTTACCAATAGATTTTAATATATTACTGTGTATAAATGTAAAAAAAAAATTTCTGTTACAAAAGGTGATTCCACGTCCTCTCAGGAACCAGTATATATCTTGCAATCGATCGACATGACTGATACTGACAACTTAAAGAAGATAACAAACTTAGACTTAGATCTTGTACAAAAAATGCAATCGAAAAGCAAAGATACAAAACAGGTGTTGACTGTGAAAGATGATGGAAGTCTGTTAGTGGTAGAAGTGCCAGTATCCTGGAAAGCAAAAGCGCCGATTATTAATTCATTAACGTTCGAGCAATTATAGAAGATTTAAGTATAGTTGCAACGAATATTAGGTAACTTTGGCTTTCTGGCTATTCGGTAATATTTTTACTATTCGGCCGAACATCAAATATTGTCCAAGTATTCGGCCTAAATAATTTTAACGTAAGAATAGAATTTTTTTTAACTATACGCTCTCTTCACAAAAAACTGTGAAAATAATTTTACTAAAAATGAGTACCTTCTACATTGCACAATCTAACAAAGTATCGCATGGAAGTATTTCCTCTGATTTTTATGAGCTCTCTCTCCTCTTGAAAGTGCAATTGAACACAAAAAATATGTATATCTCACTTTTGTCTACAAAATAATATATTAAAAGCTCGTCAAAATCAGAGATGAACACATCAAAACATATGTTTGTTATACCAGAGCTATCAATAGGTACTTCTGACTTGAAACGTTTCAGTATTTATCTTTGTTACCAGGATTGGCAAAGACTTTTTTTAAGAATAAAACATATTTTTTCTTAAATATGTTTTTAATGCTTTAAATATGCTTTAAATATTATAAAAAACATGTTTAAAACATATTAAAAACAATAATTAAACACGTTTTAAATTCTTTAATAAGTTTTTTGCCAATCCTGTTAACATTTCTACTTTATCACTGTTTTGTCATAGTTCCTACTCTCTCTAATTAGCACGTTGGAGTAAGAATTATGATAGTATGTTGGGGAGCATGCGACGCGAACAAACCTTGAGTTATACTAATTATAAATGGGAATATCGCATGTTCACTGTTTTTATTAATCTCCAAACCGTACATCTTGAGCATCTAGTAATGGTACACAGGTGCAAATTGGGATTTGACATTTTTAATTGCAAATCCCTCTCTCTTGAGGATAAAAAAACAGATATATCTTTAAAATCACTCTTTTCTGAGGTATAATTTTCTCACAAATCCAATGATATCACTCAAATTTTAATGAAAAAGCATATTTAACGTAGTAGGGATAAACTGCGGCAACAACATATACAACTGTTAGCAAATTAAAATTTTCGTGGTGCGAATTCGCACTAGTGTACAGTTTGAAGGTGCCTATACTTATTATTATTGAATATTTGGTTATTCAGCATATGACTGCCAAATGTTCAATAAGGTAAATATCAAAGTTAAATGCTAAATATTCGTTGCATTTTTTTATCTAAAGAGGCTCAGTATTTTTACATTTAGTTAATCTTACAGACTGTACCTGTCAACAAAACAAAGTGTAATATATAATAATTTATTATAATTATGTTATATTTATAATTAAAGTGTTTTACGTACAAAGAATATAATTATAAAAAACAATTATAATCTATATTTATCAGATATAAATGATTTATTTTATTACAATATATTAAAAATAATTCATATATGTAGGTACTAAATGTAATGTCTACATATTTTTGTCTTCGAAATAAAATTAAATGATAAATGCAATATCATAAAATATATATAAAGTTAAAAAAGATCTTAATAATTTTTATTTTTTAAATATCTAGATCTTTTTATAGCTTTGTGTTTTTGTATCTGATTAGATAGAGAAATCCTTTTGTTAGAAATTAATTGTGCTTGCGGTTAATTATACTCTTCTTAATTAATTTTTTCTTTTTTAATATATGGAACTTATTATATATACATATTTATAATATTAGTCTTAAAGCTGTTAAAATTAATACTGTTAAAATTTTTGTTGTTAATACTCTGCTGTTTCTTCTTAATTTTTTTATAACACTATGATCTCAAGTAATTGAAGATTAATATGGACAAAGACTTGTGAATGCGAATAAACAAAAAAAGACGAATTTCAGTTTTATTTATTTTTTATTTTTCCCTAGCTTTAAAAAAATTAGGAAAAGATAGCGTAATTAAAAGTATCATTAAAGTTACCTTACATTGGTAGAAATGGACATTGAACGAATTCGCGGATTCTTTTTTGAATCAAATATACGAGAAAAAGAAGTGATTTTCAGCGCCACTTTTTTTCGAAAAACTGCGAACTAGAATCGTATGTAGTGGGAAGTTAGAATGGTAAAAATATTTGCCAGTCGTTAGTTTATCGACTTGGAATTCTAGCGACGTTCGTGACGCAACGTTGGCACCACTGCTATTCAAAATATTTTGAACGCGTCCCAACGCAACAGTTATATGGTTATGACTGGTATAAATCATACAACTGGTCTGGAGTAATTATTTATTCGAACTTATTCGCGAGTGCAATGGCTATTGAGGGGCTTAAGTGCAATGTACTCGACATCTTCCAAAGTGACATCTTCCAAAACAACATTAAGGATGAATGGATATCGTCGTGTCGAGAGTTTCGGTTACGTGTCGACGCCAGAATCGAGCAGAAGCATCTCTATGAAAAGGGTACAATCCCTCGTGTATTTTTGCAAACTGTCGAAAACTATCGGTGAAAATAATCGAACTTACGTAGCAAGAAGTTATTCGTGAGAATTCATTTACAAATACAAGTATTAGTTTCATCAATGTAAAATTAAACTTTAATTTTGGTTACTTTTTATCTTTTTTTAAGAATTCTAAGAATTAGAAAGGGGTAAATAGTAAGTTGAATCAAGATTACATTGATGGAAAGGAACTAACAAGAGTAATCTTTTATCTTTGCAGATTGTAGTAAAAAGAAATTTGTCTATACGGACAAAATATCAGAGTTGCAACAGGAAATTAGCACAGCAAAATCTGACATAGACTCTGTCATATTGCAACAAAAAATAACAGATAAGAAGATATCAAATATGATAAAGTTACAGGAGGATGTGAAGGATGAGCTGGAAAAGGCAAAAGCACGAAGAGAAGCCTTGTTGTTGGAAATGGTAGATATACAGCAGGGTAAGTATACCTTTTTACCTAGATTTGAATCTGCAAATTCAGTATTGCATTATTTCTCTCTCAATCGAATCTATTCTTATTTTATTTTAATGTTTGCAGAAGTAGAAGAAAGAAAGAAAAAGAAAATCTCACAATGGGATGCCATTAAACGTGCATGTCTCAAATACAAAGTACATTTGGATATACATATGAATCTTCAAGAGGATAAGAATTGTCAGTTCATAAAAATATCCTTTTTCACAAATAATGAAGATGCAAAGAATAAATACTTTGTTCAATTATCATACAGTGATAACCACTGGACAGGTATGTTAACATTCTAAATTAAATCTGGAATAACAAATATAATTAGTTAACACTGTTGAGACAGTTAATCATTATTTTAGTCGAACAAATTGAACCGAGAATAAAGAAAGAGCATTTCAACAAACTAAGCATTAGAAAGGATTCTTCTGAACATTCCAGAATCTCGGATATCACTTTGTTTCTTTATCAAGTACGAAGTATATTTTTAAAGCATTACATGAAAACATAGAATAAAATTATAAAACATGTAATGCATCGTTAATTATAATAGCTTGTAAAATAGACATATTTTTTTAAGATAAGAAATAACATATTCTACTTCTCATTGCGAGAGTGACTTTTATTAATAAAATTTTTATTAATAAAAATTTAGATACCTAAAATAAATTGTATATGTATAAGATATGTAACATATGACACTGTTTAAACGTCGGCACGATTTTATTTAATTATATGTACATATATATATATATA